TGTGTGTGTGTGTGTGTGTGTGTGTGTGTGTGTGGAAAAGAGCGGGCTTGCTCATGATAATAAACACATTTAGATATATATCAGTAATTTTTTCAGGACAAATATATTCAATTTATTGCAAAATTAAACAGAAATGATTGACAACATATTCCACGATTTCGTGCAAAAACACTTGAAAATGACTGAAATGCTGAGTGTTTACATTCAACGTCAACGATTTATACAATAATTTTTTTCTAATTAAATTCTGCCAGGATAAAACCAACTAATAACACAGACACAAAAACATTTAATAAACTTCTTACACAAAATTGCTGTGCAGTTCTCCGTCTGGTCTCATTAACTGTTCGTCCTCAGCTGGTAATCTGAAACACACATCGATATAAATACTACATGATGATAATTAACACCAGTCATCCTCTGGAGATCATCTGATCTGCTACACGCACAACATAGTCTTTATTAAAACCTGCTTTGTGGGATAATTTGTAAATAATATATCTGCACACTTAACATATCTGTATATTCATTTAAACAATTATGCCCCCCCCCCCTATATTTCTGCTTCTGTATATAGTGCATTATTTAATCTTCTGTTTTTCTTATATTAGTGTTGTATTGCATCAGTGTAATTCCTATGTATGTCTGCACTTTCTTCTGCAGCAGAAGCAAGCACACAAGCTCTTTCTGACGTCTCGTAGATATCGACTAAGTGTTTTTGTATTTATGTGGCAAGCCCAGGGAATTATTGCACTGATGCTCAAAGCAACAATGAGAGAGTTTCTAGCAGGACCTGATGGCTACAGAACTTTTTCACTTTTTGTCCTGTGTATATATTATTATGATGTATTTATTTAATTTTGTGGCTATGGTTTTAGTTTAAATCAGAATCAGAATGTGCTTTATTGCAAAGTGTTTACACACACAAGGAATTTGTGCTTCCAGTACAGAAAGTACAGACATACGTATAATTTAAGGTAATAAAAACACTAATAATAATAAAACGAATAGACAATAAATTATAAATAACAACACAGCAATAAAATATAGAGAAAAAGAAAATATCAACAGACAGACATTTGATTGACCATATGCAAGTTTTACACTGTTGCTTATTAGAATAAGAAAGCCTAATAAAATATAAACCCGGTGTTGTTAAAGCTCACCTCCGCTCTGTGTGATGTAGCGGACCCACGGCAGCGCCTGATAGCCGCTCTTCTCGATGATCTTCATGTACCGCACCTTCACAATAATATCAAACTTTAGTTTCACAACTGATCATACTTTCTCACTTCAGATCTTAAAAGAATAGTTCCCCCAAAAATAAAAACTCTGTCATTAATTACTCGCCCTCACGTCGTTCCAAGCCCGTAAGACCTTCGTTCATCTTCAGAACACAAATGAAGATATTTCTGATGAACTGATGAACCCTGCACAGACAGCAAGGATCCCGACACGATAAAGCCTCAGAAACACAGCAAGGACATGTTAAAATAATCCATGTGACATCAGAGCTTCAACCCTAATGTTACGAAGCTACGAGAATGCTTTTTGTGCACAAAGATGAACGAAGGTCTTACAGGTTTGGAACGACATGAGGGCGAGTAATTAATGACAGAATTTTCATTTTTGGGTGAACTATCTCTTTAATCAGGACATTAAACACGGTGACATGAGTGTAAATAGAGTGCACCTGTATGCCAGACACGGTGAAGTACGGGATCTCAAACTTGACGGTGATCGGAGGCCTACCCTCCAGCTCGTGATTCTCCACACTCGGCAGACCGAAGTGAGCGCGCATCAGAAACTCCTTTCCACCCTGTCGACGACACCAGAGCTCAGATTTACAGATTCAACAAAACTCACACATACATAAATGACAAAGGTCTTATAAAGCATAACATCTCAGGACAGATGCTTTCTCTAAGCATCTGTGATCGCTTTCTCACCGGGAAGGATTTAATGCTCCACACCACCAGGTTCTTCTCAGGAACGTATTTAGCGTGACCTGTGCTGGTTTTGAACTTGGGAGAGTCGGCATCGCTCGGCACCGGCACGCGGATCTCCACGTTATTGGCTACAGACTGCTTTTTAAACTGGCCTTTAGCCTGGAATAGAGAGAAAGAGAGAGACTGGATCAGATCAGTCTTCATATACTGAACAACGCTGAAAATATGAGTCTTGCTCACAAACCTTCACCATGATCTCCACCCGACTGTGAGAGAACTTCTCAATAACCGACTCGATCCAAATGAGCGGCTTCACCTGCAGACCAGACATGGGTACGGTTACAGAGAGACTTTAACACATCGGCTGTGTGACGCTGCTGCGAAGATCTAACATAATACTGTCAGGACTAAACTCACTTCTGTTCATACACCGTTCAGTCATGAACAGGTAACAGCGTTCAGTAGCTCAGATTATCATGAGCTGGGCTGATGTGTGCTGCGCAATCAAAGACTAGCTGTCTGTCCTCGTCGATAGCCTTCTGGGCAAGTGAGCTAGCATATAGCGCTGTTGCGTTACGCCGTCCCGAGTTCGAATCCCGGCTTGAGGACCTTTCCCGATCCCTACCTGTCTGCTCTCCACGGTCTATCATAATGAAAGGCAGAACACCAAAAACTAAAAAAGACTAGCTGTCTGTAACGTCACTGAGATATGTATGGCACAAGCATGATATTTATTCTTTACTGTCAATCAAACTCTCTCACTTCATGAGAAAAAGATCAACTGTGTGTCCACAGAGGAAGATAAAACAGGTGTTTGAGAGACAGAGTTAAAAATATCTGTAACACTTTATTTTAAGGTGTCCTTGTTACACAAGTTGTGTACTTACTATTATAATAACAATTAATTATGCATAATTACATGCAACAAACCCTAAGCCTAATCCTAACTGTATAGTAAATATATGTAGTTAATAAATATTACTCAGTACTTAAATACACTGTAACAACACACACACGCACACACACACACACGCAAGCATGCACGCACACACACACCCGCACGCACACACACCCGCACACACACGCGTGTGCACACACGTTAGTAGGACTGATCCTCTTCATCAGTTCATCACTCAAACAGTGTAATATCGTCTGGTTCTTACGGCCGGTGAGGGCGAACAGCATGCGGTCGTTGAGGCCCAACCGGAGCTCCGGCATTCCTGAGAGCATCGTCTTGAGTTTGATGCTGCCCACGATATCGCTGCTCATCACGCTGCCGTTAGCGTTCACCTGCAAACACACACACACACACACACCTCGTCAGCACACACACTACACGAGCCACAAACAGCTGCTGGAAGAAGCAGTCACGCACCAGCACGTTAATGGACTCGATCACATCGATGAAGACCTCGTTCTTCTTGTATTTGATGCCCTCGGATCTCCAGGACACGGCGTTGGTGACGGTGGTGGGCACTTTGGTCTTGGCCACCTCCAGCTTGTTCCCCTTCTGCGTGATGTACCTGAGAGAGAAACACACGTGAGGAGACGAGCTTCAACATGATGATCGTGTGAAGCCGACGGCTCTTACTCCTGAAGGATCTTGCTGTCCGTCGTCTGCGGGAAACCGAAGTCCATGAGCTCGTCCAGCAGCTCGTACACCACCACGAAGTTATCCTGGATGCTCTCCTCCTCCAGCTCCTTGAAGTACTCCGTGAACACCTGAACACACGGCACAGGAGAAGCACGCTTGTTTCTCAGCATGACATTCAGCGCCTTCAGTTAACATTGAAGAATTAACCCAGTAGTTAATGAAGGACCACGAGTCGTCTCAGTCTCACCTCCACCAGCTTGTACAGGAAGGCGTAGACCAGAGACGCATTGGAGTTCTTGTTGGTGGTGGCCACCACTGATGTTATCGGCAGGTTAAGTTTAAAGGGGTCATGAACTGAGAAAACAAAATTCCCTTCATCTTTTGACATATAAGAGGTGATTGTACTATATAAACATCCTGTAAGTTTCAGAACTCTCTCTTTAGTCTAAAAACAGCTTATAATGAAGGCAGTCTGCCACAACATCAGCTTGTGGAATATTCTACTCTATGATGTAATAGTGTGGATAAGCTCCGCCTCCTCAGAAGAAGATCAACACCTGCTTCTACATCACTGTCTGTTAGCCCCGCCCACCAATGCTACATCACTACTTCTAAATTATGATGTTTATTGATGTAAACATCTTGATAACATTATAAGTGGAGCTCAGAGAACAGTACAAAAAAACAGAGGCAGTTCATGATCCCTTTAACGAACACGTGTTTACCGAACGATACACCGTTAAACGGCTCTCTTGAAGATCATCATTCAACAGAACCACACATGATCGAATCTGCACTGCTTACTCAGAATAACCTTTTACAATCAGATTGTGAGGTTCGTGATGTTAAGGATACAGTACAGATTGCTGTGTTTGATCCACAGGAAGTGGACGTTGCCGTGTGACATCACTGGGCAGACAAGCCCCTCCTCTTCCTGTTGCATTAGCAGGGTGAAGAAGTGGTCGATCTCTGACATGTCAACATCGCCTTTGTAGTTGCGGCATATCAGCACCTGATGGGAGGACATTGGTGTCTGTAATAATACTCTTTCCTGTCTGGAGAGGAAATGACATCTGCTCATGTCCTAAAACAGTTCACTGTTTCTAAAGTGGTCAGCGGGATTAAAGCAGTTCCAGCAGAAAACACTTTCAAAAGAAGTTTTAGAAATACTAGCATATGACATTATTAAATAACGAACCACTGTTTCTCCATTAAGGACTGTTGTTGTTGTCGTGAAGCAGACAGCTGTAGAAATGCTCACAGATTATTACAAACAGCTGTTTCGCATTTGATTAAATCAGGTGAATTTACTCTAATATCTTCTATAAAGTCGCTCATTAGGAGTCATAATTACCTTCCCCTTCAGATCCAGCACGAACACAGCTGACGCAGACATGCTCTAACGCGTATAAAATCACCGGATCAGTGTTAAACAAGTTTAAAGTAGGGTTAGTAACTGTGTTTAGCGGAGAGCTATGAGCTCATCACGAGCGCCAGTGCCTTTTCCTGCGCGGTGACGTCACGCAGCGCCAGGTAAGCGGCTGCCAGAGGTCACGTGACTGCGGAGGCGCCAGTAGAGGGCAACCTCGCGCCACCTGCAGCAGGTGAGACTGCTCCAATGCTTTCAAAACGAGAAGCTTTAAAAGACTTTCACCGGACCCAAGCGAGACTCGCAACAACGGAACCTTGAAACGGATGAAGCCTATGTAGGCTAATTCTATATTTTATGTGTTAGAAGTGTTAGAAGTAGTAGTAGTAGTAATAATAATAATAATAATAATAATAATAATAAATAAATCGTTCATACAACAAGTGTGTAAATGTGCTTCTGCACAACATTGTGTTTCTGTTAGACTCCAGCTGGCTCTGGGAAGATCTGATCTGATCCGAGCTCTGGGACTCAGTGACAGCACATGCTTCAGCTCCTCGAATCTCCACCACACTGTTCACAGCTTTAACCAGATGACCTGTCCAGGCTTTTATGAATTATCTGATTAAAAATAACAGCACTCTAATTTATACAAAACTGGACATGACATGTATATTAAACAACACTAGATCACAGTAAAAAAAATAAACATTATTATACTTCATAGAGGCAACGTCCCGCAGGAAAATCTCAAAGGTACAAATTACAAAAAGATCCAGTGTCTCAAAATCTGCGTGGAATTACATCTCAGTTGGTCATTGTCATGACAACACACAAGACACGCCCTCCTGCCGCATCACAGCTGTGGCGTGAGATTTTAACTCCGCCCATCGCGTTGGTCCTGACCAATGAGATCATCAGAATGAGAATATTGTGGAGTTCTGAGCTCCTGATTGGACGGCATCGTTATTCACCTGCACACTGAGATCCTCAGCAGAAAACACACGATGACTGTGAATTATCTACTGTTCCACACAGATGGAAATTGACTGGTCCTTGAGAGACACTTTAAAAAGCAGAACTGCTGCTGAATTTTAATTCTTTGCCAGATTATGACTATTGAGTATGATCTGATTTTCTAATCTAAACTCACACAACTAAACCTAAAACTAACATTACTATATGAGGAATCAGTGGATTAATGTGACAGACTCTTAAAAGCGCTATATAAATAAAGGTGACTTGACTTGACTGTCACATGGACGCTTCGTGTGCACAAGCAAGTGACATTCTCAGACTCTATCAAGCTTCAATTATATCTGAGAAATGCACATTCATTTTCATCTGATTTGCTATAACTTTTATGATGTTAGGATGACAAATATTAAGGGTTAAGATGGTAATGATAACTGATATACTGCATATTTGATGATATAAAGATGAAATAATACAAATCGATTTTAAAATCCAGTTCAGTCAGTTTATTTTATATAGTGTAGCATCTATAATTCATGATTTTAAATGACATTTAAAATAATATTATTAAAGCAAACCTGTGCAACTTTCCCTCTCTCTCACACACACACACACACACACACATACACACACACACACACACACACACACATACACGCACACACCAACTCTGACACTTGAGGAGCTTTCAACAAGTGTCAAACTCAGACCTTCAGAGCAGCTCACAAACGAAGAAAAGCACAAGCAATTATTATCAATGAGCAACCATATTAGCAGAATACTGAATTTCAAGAGTAAACCAAACAATAAACAGATGTCTACCTCCAGCCAATGGAAAAACTCAATATTTTTATTCATGGTTCTACAGATAAATATGGTTCTATAAATAAAGAGTGGTTACGCTAGAGAATGCCACACCTAATTCCTAGAGTGTCACACATGGATCAGTGCTGCTGTGATGAACATTGTTCTCCTCGTGTCCCGTCGAACAGCATGCCATTCATTACTGCAGATCTGAACATGACGTCCTCATGACTTCAAGGACTTCATATCCGTCATCACCTGCATTCAACCCACAGTTCCTCTGATTCATGAAAAAAGCATCTGAAGACCATGGACTAGATGATTAAATACTGTACGAGAGTGAAGTTCAGTCACGTCACACTGATGAGCTCATGAAATATGCAAAGATGAGTGAATGTGAACAGTGTTTAATAATGAATGGATGGAGGGCTGTAGCATTATTGAATCATCAGCTTTATGCTCCGGATAGAACAGGACTGAAGCTGCCCATAAAACATCTGATATCTGACGTTTGTGTGGATGAAAGTGAATCTCAGACCGACGCTCGAGTAAAACACCACAGAGAACAACAGCTGCATCAAGAAACCAAGACAAACACACAGATTTCTGGGTTCAAAATGTGCATTTATTGAAAAACAATGTCAAAAACAGACGAGTTGTTTCTCTAAAGCTGTAGAGCATTCAGATCACTGGCCCATCAGTCCTGAGATAAAGCAGCGGGTTCATCCGATCCACACCAGAGTAAACCTGACCTCAAACCACACAAGGAGATTCACCGGTCCGGTCCAAGAGCTTTCCTTCACATTCGGGTTTCATTCTTCATAAACATATAAAAGTCCCTGAATGTCGTCGAATGACGCGCAGGTTCATTCCCTCAGTAGTGCACATCGATTTCTGGAGGACATTTCAATATCACATCTGATAAACAAACAATACATTTAAGAGAGAAAAGCAAAATCATACGTTTACACAATAAATAAGTGTTCTTCGTACAGTCTTGGGTTTAAGACGGTGTGATGCAGGCGAGTATTTAGAGACAAACCTGCAGATGTTTGAGTAGCGTTTGCTGCGATCCTTCAGATAACATACCGCACAAGCCTGCTAATAAATAAGCGTGACTCTAACGGACAGGTGAGGTCAGAGGTCAGCTGAATCTCCCCGAGCACAGATTCGCTCTCGCGCGCCGAAGGCATTCAAACATTATGACACAATGCACAGGCACCATCAGGTTTAAGGCCCAGATCTACACGCCTGAGCAGACGAAGCGCAGCAGTAACAGAACGAGTCATTATTACTAAAGCAGCAGCGCTGTGCATTCATTCATACAAGCACTTCATCAAAACAAAGTCAAACAGATTGTTCAAGTCTGTCTGTGAAGGAGAAACATAAATAAAGTCTGTGACAGTCAACATATATACAGTGCAAGAAGAGAGAGACACCTGTCTGCCCTTCACATACTCACACATATTTACAAGGATCATTTAAATATCATAAAGTGGTAATACCTTCAATAAGAGGATCTTAAAAGCTCACAAACACAAATGAAAACAGCGGTGTGTTTGTAGCAAAGCCACAGACTCCTGAAGAGTGTCTGTTTGAGATCTTCACCTGTGATGACATCCGTTAGACAGGAGTGAGTGTGTGTGTGTGTGTGTGTGTGTCTTCATTCCTTATATCATACAGGCATTATAAAATTCAAGCTTGATCCTGGGGTCGTTTCGCACATGAGGACGAGTTTCCTTCAGCTGACTGTTAAAGTTTCAGAGCAGCATTAACGTGTCCTTCAGCTTCTGGAGGAGCGTCAGGCTGCGTCTTCATCCATACTGATCATCTGGCACTGAGACACAAACACACATTCATTAAACACACACTCATTAAAGGGGTCATGAACTGAGAAACCAAAATTCCCTTGATGACATATAAGAGGTGATTGTACTATAAAAACATCCTGTAAGTTTCAGAACTCAGAATTTTCTCATTAGTCTAAAAACAGCTTATAATGAAGGCAGTCTGCCACAACATCAGCTTGTGGAATATTCTACTCTATGATGTAATAGTGTGGATAAGCTCCGCCTCCTCAGAAGATCATCAACACCTGCTTCTACATCACTGTCTGTTTAGCCCCGCTCACCGATTCTACATCACTGCCTGTTTAGCCCCGCCCACCGATTCTACATCACTGTCTGTTTAGCCCCGCCCACCGATTCTACATCACTGTCTGTTAGCCCCGCCCACTGATTGTAGTGTTTACACGAGAGGCCAACGCAGGTCTACGCAGAAACCAAACGATAAAGATGCTCTGAAGACAGCAAAACCCTGTGCGGTGCCAAGCTGTGGAAGAACAGTGTTAGCGTTGCCTTCCTTCTGATCACAATGTTACGAAAGAGTGGATGAACTTTATTTTTAATGAAGATCCAGACCGCATCAGTAAGAACTCAGTCCTTTGTTCACTTCATTTTATTGCAGATTCGTTTACAAACAAGGCACAATTTGATGCAGGATTTTCAGAAAGATTGAAACTAAAAGATGATGCTGTGTGATTATATTGGATCCGACTGTAATGTCACAAGTGTGAGGAACGGTTTCATTACGTGATCACTATTGCTTTGTCTGTTAAACAGATTTGAGTATTTATGCGTTTTAGACTTAAACGGACACAGCAGCATCTATCTGTGAGGAATGTAGGCTGTCAATCATACACAACTGTTAGCCAATCACAGCAGTGGGCGTTTACTTCAGTCTACAATCCTCCCGGCCTATAACAGCGTTCTGATGAGGGGGTCAAAACAGGACAGAAAATAGCCTATTACTTCTAAATTATGATGTTTATTGATGTAAACATCTTGATAACATTATAAGTGGAGCTCAGAGAACAGTACAAAAAAAACAGAGGCAGTTCATGACCCCTTTAGACACAGTCTCTCACAGACTCCCGTCTGAGATCATTCATGGCTAAATCTAAACATACCTCATGTTCAGTCAATCTAATGTGTCCTAAACGACTATTTTGTTCCAGTCAAATCCATCAGTAACTTTGTATCGAGACTCTTTTCATGTTTCTGCCTCATCAGAACGAATCACGTGTGTTTTAGTCACTCGAGGCAATACTGTGCTCTTAATTTATTAACATTTACATAAAATATCTGAATATGTGAGTAAATCAAACAGTGTGTGTGTGTGTGTGTGTGTGTGTGTGTGTGTGTGTGAGTGAGTGTTTGTGTGAGTGTGAGAGTGAGTGTGAGAGTGAGTGTGAGAGTGAGTGTGAGAGTGAGTGTGAGAGTGAGTGTGAGAGTGAGTGTGAGAGTGAGTGTGAGAGTGAGTGTGAGAGTGAGTGTGAGAGTGAGTGTGAGAGTGAGTGTGAGAGTGAGTGTGAGAGTGAGTGTGAGAGTGAGTGTGAGAGTGAGTGTGAGAGTGAGTGTGAGAGTGAGTGTGAGAGTGAGTGTGAGAGTGAGTGTGAGAGTGAGTGTGAGAGTGAGTGTGAGAGTGAGTGTGAGAGTGAGTGTGAGAGTGAGTGTGAGAGTGAGTGTGAGAGTGAGTGTGAGAGTGAGTGTGAGAGTGAGTGTGAGAGTGAGTGTGAGAGTGAGTGTGAGAGTGAGTGTGAGAGTGAGTGTGAGAGTGAGTGTGAGAGTGAGTGTGAGAGTGAGTGTGAGAGTGAGTGTGAGAGTGAGTGTGAGAGTGAGTGTGAGAGTGAGTGTGAGAGTGAGTGTGAGAGTGAGTGTGAGAGTGAGTGTGAGAGTGAGTGTGAGAGTGAGTGTGAGAGTGAGTGTGAGAGTGAGTGTGAGAGTGAGTGTGAGAGTGAGTGTGAGAGTGAGTGTGAGAGTGAGTGTGAGAGTGAGTGTGAGAGTGAGTGTGAGAGTGAGTGTGAGAGTGAGTGTGAGAGTGAGTGTGAGAGTGAGTGTGAGAGTGAGTGTGAGAGTGAGTGTGAGAGTGAGTGTGAGAGTGAGTGTGAGAGTGAGTGTGAGAGTGAGTGTGAGAGTGAGTGTGAGAGTGAGTGTGAGAGTGAGTGTGAGAGTGAGTGTGAGAGTGAGTGTGAGAGTGAGTGTGAGAGTGAGTGTGAGAGTGAGTGTGAGAGTGAGTGTGAGAGTGAGTGTGAGAGTGAGTGTGAGAGTGAGTGTGAGAGTGAGTGTGAGAGTGAGTGTGAGAGTGAGTGTGAGAGTGAGTGTGAGAGTGAGTGTGAGAGTGAGTGTGAGAGTGAGTGTGAGAGTGAGTGTGAGAGTGAGTGTGAGAGTGAGTGTGAGAGTGAGTGTGAGAGTGAGTGTGAGAGTGAGTGTGAGAGTGAGTGTGAGAGTGAGTGTGAGAGTGAGTGTGAGAGTGAGTGTGAGAGTGAGTGTGAGAGTGAGTGTGAGAGTGAGTGTGAGAGTGAGTGTGAGAGTGAGTGTGAGAGTGAGTGTGAGAGTGAGTGTGAGAGTGAGTGTGAGAGTGAGTGTGAGAGTGAGTGTGAGAGTGAGTGTGAGAGTGAGTGTGAGAGTGAGTGTGAGAGTGAGTGTGAGAGTGAGTGTGAGAGTGAGTGTGAGAGTGAGTGTGAGAGTGAGTGTGAGAGTGAGTGTGAGAGTGAGTGTGAGAGTGAGTGTGAGAGTGAGTGTGAGAGTGAGTGTGAGAGTGAGTGTGAGAGTGAGTGTGAGAGTGAGTGTGAGAGTGAGTGTGAGAGTGAGTGTGAGAGTGAGTGTGAGAGTGAGTGTGAGAGTGAGTGTGAGAGTGAGTGTGAGAGTGAGTGTGAGAGTGAGTGTGAGAGTGAGTGTGAGAGTGAGTGTGAGAGTGAGTGTGAGAGTGAGTGTGAGAGTGAGTGTGAGAGTGAGTGTGAGAGTGAGTGTGAGAGTGAGTGTGAGAGTGAGTGTGAGAGTGAGTGTGAGAGTGAGTGTGAGAGTGAGTGTGAGAGTGAGTGTGAGAGTGAGTGTGAGAGTGAGTGTGAGAGTGAGTGTGAGAGTGAGTGTGAGAGTGAGTGTGAGAGTGAGTGTGAGAGTGAGTGTGAGAGTGAGTGTGAGAGTGAGTGTGAGAGTGAGTGTGAGAGTGAGTGTGAGAGTGAGTGTGAGAGTGAGTGTGAGAGTGAGTGTGAGAGTGAGTGTGAGAGTGAGTGTGAGAGTGAGTGTGAGAGTGAGTGTGAGAGTGAGTGTGAGAGTGAGTGTGAGAGTGAGTGTGAGAGTGAGTGTGAGAGTGAGTGTGAGAGTGAGTGTGAGAGTGAGTGTGAGAGTGAGTGTGAGAGTGAGTGTGAGAGTGAGTGTGAGAGTGAGTGTGAGAGTGAGTGTGAGAGTGAGTGTGAGAGTGAGTGTGAGAGTGAGTGTGAGAGTGAGTGTGAGAGTGAGTGTGAGAGTGAGTGTGAGAGTGAGTGTGAGAGTGAGTGTGAGAGTGAGTGTGAGAGTGAGTGTGAGAGTGAGTGTGAGAGTGAGTGTGAGAGTGAGTGTGAGAGTGAGTGTGAGAGTGAGTGTGAGAGTGAGTGTGAGAGTGAGTGTGAGAGTGAGTGTGAGAGTGAGTGTGAGAGTGAGTGTGAGAGTGAGTGTGAGAGTGAGTGTGAGAGTGAGTGTGAGAGTGAGTGTGAGAGTGAGTGTGAGAGTGAGTGTGAGAGTGAGTGTGAGAGTGAGTGTGAGAGTGAGTGTGAGAGTGAGTGTGAGAGTGAGTGTGTGTGTGTGAGAGAGTGTGAGAGAGTGTGTGTGTGTGAGAGAGTGTGAGAGAGTGAGTGTTTGTGTGAGAGTGAGTGAGTGAGTGAGTGAGTGAGTGAGTGAGTGAGTGTGTGTGTGTGGAGTGTGTGTGTGAGAGAGTGAGTGAGTGTGTGTGTGAGAGTGTGAGTGTGAGAGAGTGTGAGTGAGTGCGCGTGTGTGAGTGCGTGTGTGTCTGTGTGTGTGTGTGTGTGTGTGTGTGAGAGAGAGAATGTGCGTGTGCGCCCGTGTGTGTGGGAGTGAGAGTGAGTGTGAGTGCGTGTGCGAGTCGTACCGAAGGATGTGAGTATCCGTCTAGACTGGAGCTCCTGAAGATGTGCACGGTGTCGTCTGTTTTCTTCTGGTACACTGGGTTGGTGAAGTGGATGGTGTTGGTGTTCTTCATCCGCCAGTGTCTCC